TCACGTAAAAAGTACTTTTTTTGATGCTCCATAGAGCAGTTTTTGGATAAGTATTTTACAATCATAGTACTTAGAAAGACTTCAGTGTTACATGTTTACTTTTTTCATGTTAAAAAATACTTGATATTTCAGTAAAGTAGTTTTTGTTTGTTTATTTGACATGACTTCTAATAAGGCAGCTGTTAATTTCTCCATTCATTTTGAACTTAGAGAGTGTTTTTGTTTCAGATGTTTCATGTCAAGCATTAAACAGTTTGGACTGTTTACTGTGAGTTTTCCTAATTACATTTAGTCTTACTAAACACAAATATCATCTGGCTTTTAGTATTGCAATATATCGTATCGTCTACCCTGTATTATGATACATATTGTATCGCCAGATTCTTGCCAATACACATCCCTAGTAACTTCCATAATTATAGCTATATGTAACCTATAGTGTATTCCTTATGTCCATTTTATACCTGGGAGCACAAGTGCTGATGAACAGTTTTTTATTTAGGCACAGGCAGAGCGTCCTCTTTTCCTGGCTCTAATTATGACGCACACTGGTTTGCTCCCTCTCACACAAAATCACCCAAACACAGCACAAATCCCACTAATGATTCAATTCCTTATAAACCACTGAATCTGGTACTGAGGTAGTGACGTGCTGAATTAAGCTTCGGACGTCATTGATCATGTGACTGTTCAGACTAACAAAGCCCTGGCATAGTGTTTCTGAAGCAGTGTGTTGATGTTTTTTGACAAATATGCTGGAGCTTCAGCTTCCATTACTACTTAGTACTACAACTATTAATATCTGAAGGCTGTGTCTAAATGCTGACCTGTATGGGACTACTGTTGTAGCAAAAGGATTTTTGTGTGAGCCTATTTTAGTCTGCATGTGTGAATTTTGTAAAGATTTGTGTGTGCCTATTGAAATCTCTCTCTCTCTCTGTGTGTGTGTGTGTGTGTGTGTGTGTGTGTGCTCTCAGAACTATACACATGTATTTAGATCTCTTTGTGCATTTTCAGATCTATGTGTATATAATCACATTTGTAAATGTGTGAATACATCTGCTCAGTGATTTGTGAATGTGTACAGAAATCTGCAAATGTGTATTCAGAATGTGTGAAAGTTTTATTTAAATGGAAAAATCTGAAATCTGAAGAGTAATGACTGAATCTGTAGGTTTTGCCGAATGCACTGAAAATACAAAGAGGTTATCAGTTACAAGTTACTCAGCTTTTCAGTTGGTTGGTTAAATTCATCAGTGCAATTTAAGTGTGGCATTGAACAGATGGTAGTGGTAACTGTGCTGATGCAAGGCAGGCTTAGGCTATGGACTGTGGATTGTGCTTGCTCAAAGCAGGGGCGGATCTTCTGTAGTGGCAATAGGTGGCATGTGCCATCCTAAAATAATCTCTTCCCACCCCTAATGAGACCCTAGTTTTGCATATGATAATGCTGTTTATTAAAAAACCCTAGGCTAGCATTAACCCTTTGTGCAAGTGTAGAAACAATTAATATGAAATACATTTTTCAATTACACAATATAAACATATTGTGTAATTGAAAAATGGTTCATCCCACTGGGTCCCCTCAAAGTCATTAGTTTTCCTCACACAATGAGAATGTATGGAGACACAGCAGATGTAGCTATGAATGGTGTAACAGGAGAAGGTGAAATACAAAGCAAGATGAAGGAGAACAAGCTGAAAAGGACAAGCAACAGAGGAAGAAGAAATTGGCATATAGCCTAAAATCCAAACCAAAGAAGAAGAACACATAAAAAAAAAAGCTCTTAGAAAAAACAGAAAAAAGTGACATATTGCCCTAACTGACAGAATACCTGAAGCAGAGTGGTACAAAAGAAGAACAAGACAATAAGGATTTTAAAAAAAGTATCCCGATGGCAATGCAGGTGAATGATTGCACGCGTACAAGTGTGCAATCATCATCCATTTGTCTTTCGCTCTGTGAGAGACCTCATCTGGAAGAGAACAAAGAACAGGTCCTTCCTGAAAAAGAAGTGTTGTTTTGGTAATATCTGTTTATACAAGTGATTTACAAAACTCAGTAAAGAGGAAAGCCTTGTGTTTTGTCTTACTTATAGATGAAAACAGATCTAATTGTTCTACAGGAATATCATCCATGCTGAGATGATTTGACATTCAGGAAAAATCAATGGGGTAATGATATTTGGTTCTCACATGGCTCAAGTCACATTGCTGGGATAGCTACTCCCAAAGGTAAAACCATAGGATAATAATGGATTGCATTTATACAGCACTTTTCTAGGCACCCAAAGCGCTGTACAATTCCACTATTCATTCATACACTGGTGGAGGCAGCTACAGTTGTAGCCACAGCTGCCCTGGGGCAGACTGACAGAAGCGAGGCTGCCATATCACACCATCGGGCCCTCTGGCCAACACCAGCTGGCGGTAGGGTAAAGTGTCTTGCCCAAGGACACAACGACCAGGACAGAGAGCCCAGGGATCGAACTGGCAACCTTCCGGTTACAGATGAGCTTCCCAATCCCCTGAGCCACGGTCACCCCGAAGGAATAAAGAAGCAATCCCAAAGGCCACGGTTTTTGTTTTGTTTTTTTGTTATTAAAGAGATCATACTCAGTATATACTGAGTAACATTTATGGTTATATTTCTCTCTGGAAACACTGAACAACTCAAAGAAACGGAAACACCCATTAACTTCCTGCTTGAAAAATGTACCTTAGCTGCAGTCCATCACGTTGATTTTAGCAGAGCTAGAAACTAATGTAAATGAGTCACGAAAAGTTGATTCTGTTCATCCGGACGGATCGTTTTGTGGGAGAAATGTTCCGTCACTCATCCGAGTGACTTCTTCAGTCTCAGCTGACTGCAGGTTTCCCCAATCTTATAAACAGTACATTGCATAATGACTGAAATCAGCCCAGTGAAGGAACAATGAGCTGGGAGGTCAGTAAATGAGACACATAGACTGCATTGGTGTTCAGTAACAACATCTACTGGATTTTAAAAGGTCATAGCAGGCAACCTGGACAAAGAATGTGGTGAAAGACTGAACTAGATACGTTTATTCTGACATCTGGGACCTATACTACGAAGCAAGTTCAACATATCCAGGATATTTTTTCATTCCCCTAACACTGTTGATCAGGATAAATGGTCACAGAAACATGGCTATCTACAAACTAGGTTAACCCAGAGAATACTCACATGAAAGGTGTGGTGTTGGCAGCATCTGACCAATCTAAAAGAGGTGTTTCACAGATCATATCACTTTTCTCCCACAGAAAATGATCTATATGACACCTACACCAGAGACATTATCAAATGGTAATGAAATTATCTATAAAGAACACAAAATAAAGAAAATAAAATAGTGGAGGGCAACACTGTTGTAAGAGACTTTCTATGAACAGGAGACCATCATCGATCATCAAAGTGGTGATATAGAGCTACTCTAATGTGAAGCCAAGTGACGGCTCATTGTGTTCAGAATATGGGGTTGTCGTGTGCTTAGCAAGCAGTAGGAATGTGTCAATAAAAAGTGACAAAACTACACTGATCTACAATAACGCCTTCAGGCTGCACGGTTGCACGTTCCAAAGATCAGGACCACAGTAACTGAAGGCCCCCTCAGCACACTTGGGTCTGATTTACATTTGGGACAGAGCGAGCAGTGTGATCTCACTTGTTTCCCCTTTTCAGATTCGTACTTTTCTCTGTCTACACTGAAATTGAGAAGAAAAAATTCAAAGAAGACAAAAAGATCTGCTTCTGTTGTAATACTTCTGCCGTGATCTTCAAGAACTGTGTGCTGCAGAGTATAGACTGCCTGCTGCACCGTGCACACTGTGTGCACACGGTGTGGGATCAACCTTATTTTCTTAAGTAACCTGTGACGGCTCATGTGCTTTGGATTTTGTAAAGGTTAATCAGTTTACCTCAACCTCAATTGTAACTTTTTGTTCCATGGCTCTGGTTCTTTTTTCTAGTGTAATGGTTTTACAAAAACAATTATGTTTGTTTATTTAGTGAAAATATTTTTTAGTAAGAATGACTTTTATTTCTGTCATCATTCTTTCAAGTATAGTTTTTTCTTTTTAATTGATTACTGCTTTTAATTTCTGGAAATATAAAATGTCATCAGTGACCACTGTGTCATTGCTACAATTAGACAATTCTCAAAACCAAGCCTGGAATTCTTGTAAAACGAAACATAAAACATTTTCCTGTATAGGGATTTGTAAATGTTGTACATGTTTTTGGCTGGGATAAGCTTTATCTTATTCCAAACGTGAAACATTTATGGGAATTTTTCTATGAAGGTTTCATTAAAATCATTGATAAACATGCTCCATTAAAAAATAGAAATTTTAAGGTCGTAAAAATACCTGGTTCACTCAAGAACTTTTAAAGTTACTTCATGAGTGTAATGTGGTGTGAGCCAAAACCAGAAAAACAGATCCTAGCTCAGATTGGAAATGCTTTATAGAGCTCTGCAATAAATGCATTGTGACAATAAAAAATGCAAAGGCTGCATATTTTATCTCAGAAAATGTGAACACTTCCTTAAAATTTTGGAAAACAATTCAGTTACTAAATGGATAAGATACTGATTCAGATCCCCCCCCTCACATAGATAATCAAAGATAATGAGAAATTTGACAAAAAGAATGAAATACATAGTATTTTTAATAAGTATTTTATTAATTCCTAAAATGTTATTAAAACTCTAAATGCTACCTTGTGAAATGCATCTGGTCTGATTTGGAGCTGTGAGAAGGATGTAACAAAACTGTTTTGGTGATGAAAGGTTTAGAGACTTTAAGAGGACACAATTTGGTGGAAAGACAATGTGGAAACAACTTAAGATGGTAGAACAAAAGGGAAACATGGGGACATCTCCACAAATGAGAAGCTACTTGTTTCCAATTAACTACACAGGCAGCTGTTACCACTGAGCAATCAGTCCCTTCTGCAGCAAAGATCATATAAAATCAGCTCTTGTTGTTTCTAGTCATGTGGAAGCTCCTGTTGCAATAAGGTACAGTGCTGGTATTGAGTATGCAGTGTAGTTTATTTATTGGTCTATTATGCATCTTATTATTTTTTTGTGATCCTGTAACAGGCTCTTGGGGAGGTTGAAACACCTTACTCTACAGCAAAATAAGGTAAGTGATGCTATAAAACAACTTTAAAAAAAGAGTGCTGTAATCCAGCGGTGTCTGCATTAAAGTCAGAAATTTTAAAAACAGTTCATGTGCAGTGATGCTTCATAGGAAGGGTGCATTATGGGTGTGGATTGGATGATGTGTACATATCATGACATTTATTTTTTTATTTTTTAAACGTGGTCTGCAGGTGGTTGTGGCTATTATGTCTCACTGGAAGCATCACTTGTGCACCTGTGGAGAAAGGCAAGAGGTTTACTAAACTTAAATGATTGACCAGTTAAAGTTAATGGGAGCTTAAGTGTATTGGCTAAGTCTTAGCTTCCATTAATTTCTCTTCTAGGGCTGGGACTGAACAGAGCTGAGACACCACAAACTCTTCCTTGGTATACATTCAGGGGAATGGGGAGTGACTCTGACAAAGCACTAGTAGTGGCTATGGAGTACAGAGCAGTCCTCCATATACCCTGTATGATGCTCCAGCAGCTGGTTCATTGGGATATACAGTGGGTCAGTATGGAGCTCCAGCAGTTGGCTTTGCAGTAGGTCAGTATGGGTCTCCGGGAGGAGGTTCGGACAGATATGCAGCGGGTCAGTATCAGACAGGACCTACAGTTTAACACTCAATCTGGCATCAACAATGATGAAAACGAGCCAGTTTTCAGTGACGTGTATGGTCTGGAGCCAGTCTACTCCATAAGTTCCCATTCACGCTACCACAAAGGAAGAGCGGCTTTCGCCCAAACCCGCTACACCGCCACAGAATCTCTTGGTTTGTCTGTGCCGCTATTCCCATACACCAGCTACATGTTTGCTCCTCACATTGTCTACTGAAGATCTGGGACTAGCTCTCTTGAATTGGGTTTCTCGAGCTAGTGATGGTTGATGGACTTGTCTTTACCTTGCAGGTGTTAATGTTGTGTCTCTGCTGCTTATGACTCAAAATTTGTCAATAAATGACTTTGGTTTGACTTGTTTAAGTCAATTCTGATGCCTTTTGCCATGTTTCCTGAGGCAATATTCCAGAAACTGGCAGTCTTGTCACTACATTATTATTATTATTATTATTATTATTATTATTATTTCTTTTTTTTCTTTAAAAACCTTAAATGTGAAAATGATCAAATGTCAAAATTTGAGCCATGCAATTTAAACTAGGACAAAATGGTCTTTACTGTCACCTTGAAGGCTTTATCATAGAGAGATATATAGATAGCTAGCTTACTGTGGACACAATTGCAGGGCACAGAGGTAAGGTTAAAGGATGTTTTAACAGTTTGACCCAAGCCTTGGGAATTACAGGCAGCTTTATGATGCTTGTGCAGCAGTACCAACTCCTTGGGGCTAAGGTAGCGGTGGGCAATTCCAGGCCCGAGGGTCCTGCAGGTTTTAGATCTCACCTTGGGTCAACACACCAGAATCGCATGATTAGTTCGTTACCAGGCCTCTGGAGAACTTCAGGACATGTTGAGGAGCTAATTTAGCCATTTAAATCAGCTGTGTTGGTTCAAAGACACATCTAAAACGTGCAGGGACACAGGCCCTCAAGGCCTGGAGTTGCCCATCCCTGGGCTAAGGGGACTACAGGAAGGTCATCTAGCTCATCTTGCAGCTGTTTGTCAAATGCAACTACTAATCTAGTTAAGAGTGGACTTCTGTAAACCAGTCCACCTCCAAGTGATAACAAAGAAAAAGCACAAAAAACCCTAATAGCTCTTTCTGAGTCTCACCTGAACTCAAAACATTCATTACAATGTTGTTCAGTAAAGATGGGCAGCTATTAGGTCTGTTGGATGCAAATTATGTGACATTACAGCCAAGGCTCAGCCATAAAGCCCCAAAACTTAACTGCTGAGAGCAAAAAGCGAGGAAAAAAAAGCATTAAATGTAATATTTTTCAATGCCATTTTTTTAATGCTAAAATTGAGTGTCACTGTTCTGGAATTATAAATACACATTTACAGATTCCTTTGAAAATTCAGAAATGTCTGTACAGATTTACCGATTTATTCAAAACATTTAAAAATTGATTACACACACACAAATCAAAATACACACATGCACAAAATGTTTTGCCACAATGATAGTCTTATACAACTGCTAGAAATAGAACTAATTGAACTTGCTGAACCCTGTACAGGGAGTGCAGAATTATTAGGCAAATGAGTATTTTGTCCACATCATCCTCTTCATGCATGTTGTCTTACTCCAAGCTGTATAGGCTCGAAAGCCTACTACCAATTAAGCATATTAGGTGATGTGCATCTCTGTAATGAGAAGGGGTGTGGTCTAATGACATCAACACCCTATATCAGGTGTGCATAATTATTAGGCAACATCCTTTCCTTTGGCAAAATGGGTCAAAAGAAGGACTTGACAGGCTCAGAAAAGTCAAAAATAGTGAGATATCTTGCAGAGGGATGCAGCAGTCTCAAAATTGCAAAGCTTCTGAAGCGTGATCATCGAACAATCAAGCGTTTCATTCAAAATAGTCAACAGGGTCGCAAGAAGCGTGTGGAAAAACCAAGGCGCAAAATAACTGCCCCTGAACTGAGAAAAGTCAAGCGTGCAGCTGCCAAGATGCCACTTGCCACCAGTTTGGCCATATTTCAGAGCTGCAACATCACTGGAGTGCCCAAAAGCACAAGGTGTGCAATACTCAGAGACATGGCCAAGGTAAGAAAGGCTGAAAGACGACCACCACTGAACAAGACACACAAGATGAAACGTCAAGACTGGGCCAAGAAATATCTCAAGACTGGTTTTTCTAAGGTTTTATGGACTGATGAAATGAGAGTGAGTCTTGATGGGCCAGATGGATGGGCCCGTGGCTGGATTGGTAAAGGGCAGAGAGCTCCAGTCCGACTCAGACGCCAGCAAGGTGGAGGTGGAGTACTGGTTTGGGCTGGTATCATCAAAGATGAGCTTGTGGGGCCTTTTCGGGTTGAGGATGGAGTCAAGCTCAACTCCCAGTCCTACTGCCAGTTTCTGGAAGACACCTTCTTCAAGCAGTGGTACAGGAAGAAGTCTGCATCCTTCAAGAAAAACATGATTTTCATGCAGGACAATGCTCCATCACACGCGTCCAAGTACTCCACAGCGTGGCTGGCAAGAAAGGGTATAAGAGAAGAAAAACTAATGACATGGCCACCTTGTTCACCTGATCTGAACCCCATTGAGAACCTGTGGTCCATCATCAAATGTGAGATTTACAAGGAGGGAAAACAGTACACCTCTCTGAACAGTGTCTGGGAGGCTGTGGTTGCTGCTGCACGCAATGTTGATGGTGAACAGATCAAAACACTGACAGAATCCATGGATGGCAGGCTTTTGAGTGTCCTTGCAAAGAAAGGTGGCTATATTGGTCGCTGATTTGTTTTTGTTTTGTTTTTGAATGTCAGAAATGTATATTTGTGAATGTGGAGATGTTATATTGGTGTCACTGGTAAAAATAAATAATTGAAATGGGTATATATTTGTTTTTTGTTAAGTTGCCTAATAATTATGCACAGTAATAGTCACCTGCACACACAGATATCCCCTTAAAATAAAAACAAAAAATAAAAACAAACTAAAAACTACTTCCAAAAACATTCAGCTTTGATATTAATGAGTTTTTTGGGTTCATTGAGAACATGGTTGTTGTTCAATAATAACATTATTCCTCAAAAATACAACTTGCCTAATAATTCTGCACTCCCTGTGTTCCCCAGGTAAGGGGAGAAAAGTGATGACAATTCAAAGAGCTCAGGCCTGACAGGGAATGTACAGTCTTTTTATTTTATTTTTTTTAATGAAAATGATTAGCCTATCACAATGAGATAATGCTTGCTTCACATGGTACTTATAAACGTGTTGATTTCCTAGCATTTTATTTTTGGCAACAAAGAATAAATTAAGTCTGACTCTGCTCCCCCCTCCTTATTTCATGATTTGGTTTAGTCCAAGTGGTGCTGATGCTGAGCATTAAAGTAAGGATGGCACCTTAAAAGTAAAGTCTGGGAGACAGTGGAAATTAAACTCATAGCAAGCTCCACATGAAAGAAACAGTTTGACATTTACTAGTATCAGTTAGCTTACTTCATTTCTAACAAAAAATGTGTTCTGTTAATATAGCCAACATGCAATTGGTGCAGACAGACCCTTTCTACATATGTACGCAAAATCAATTCTCTGACAATCCACTGCCAGGCCAAACAGATCAAACCCCTGGCTCAGGCTTAGTTATAGGTGAGCTCTTTTATGTCAAACACTGTGTCTAATTGCAGGAGGGCCTTTGGGAATTTAGATTAAAACCTTTTTGAGTTTAACTAGGTCTAAGGACAGAGACATATTTTAGTTGGCTATACTTTGTTTGAAAATTAATATACAAAGGATTATTAAAATTATAAAATTATATTTCCTAAATAATACTAAATATTATATTTACACATTTAAGGAGTAAAAAAAAAAACCCAACTTTTACTTTTTTATTTTGGTACAAGGTACCAATCAGTGTAAACGAAATGAATGAGTAAATAAATAAATAACATTACCATTAAAAAATAAAATGTAAAGAAAATGGCACATGTCTCAACAATCTTGAGCAAAATCAAAATCTAAGCAAAATATATATCCATGTTTGCAATGTGCTATAGTTTTAGTGCTGGAATGGTATCCAAAATTAAACGGTGGGGCCCAAGGTGATATTTGTTTTCACGGGTCCCCAAATCCCTGCAGGCACCCGTGCTGGTGACACAACCTCTCACCGATGCTGCCTGCATCTGCAGCTTCAACCAAGTACAAATCTCCAGTTTTGTAACTCATGTTCACGATTTCAATTCTGTCCAACCAGCAAACCGACACAACCTAACCTATAGCCATGCCCACAGAACAGGCCACGCCCCTGAGTGTCAGTTTTCGTTTGACAGTGAGTAAAGTTTGTTGGGAGTCGTTGAGTTGTCAGTGATTTTAACCTTTTTGCTTAATTTCGCCTGTTTTTTTCGGATTTTACTATAACGATGGAATAACAAATAAGAATGGTGGTGAATTCAGTCCACTGGTTTCGTAAATGTCTGCGGTTGCACGATAATCCTGCGCTGCAGGAGGCCCTGAATGGAGCGGACGCAGTGCGCTGTGTTTATATTCTAGACCCCTTTTTTGCTGGAGCTGCTAACGTGGGAATCAACCGATGGAGGTTTGTGACTTCATATTGTGACAGTTTGGGGTTGTTAAAGGCTAACTTAACCCAGTGAAATACAGGAAGAGCATTTACTAGGTCAATATTTACACGATCCATTACTCTTGGGCCTCTGCTCCACGTCATTTAGCTAATGCTAGCATAGAATGCAACCCGATTAATGCTAAGCGCCATTGAAGAAATACATAACTTTAACTTATCGTCGCATATCAGCCAAGTATGTCCACTTAAAAGGCGAAGTGTTTAACGTAAATTAAATACTGTACATTCTTGTTCGGCTTACACTCAAAATTACATTTAAAAAACATTGGAGATAATTCTTGATGGTGTCTGAAAGGCTTCTGCTAAACAAGTTAACTTACAACAGTTTGGTACAGAAACTATGGAGACAACGATGTCCATTTAACATGAGTAAAAGAAAGGTTCGCATGAAATGGCAAAGCCCGTTAATCAAGCAAGCGGAGAGAGGTGCACTATGGGAGTTGATGTCAATTTCGATTTGCTTAGTGAGTAGCTATGCGAAAATTATTACAAAATAATTCATTGTCACGCCTGCCAAGGAAACATAGAGGTTGCTATAGTAAATTAATTGATAATGACGCTCCAACACGACATAGCTGGAATAACTGCATAAACGTCAACACTCCACCACGTTTCAGAAGAGAACGCTGCACTTTCTGTTTACTACAGGTATACTACAGGCAATATATAAACACATTTATCCAAAATTCCTCAAATGTCAGTGCTTCTCAAGCGCAACGGTTTGATACGTTATGTTAAAATTTATACCACTATAAAGTGTATTTTAAAAT